CTGGCAAGTTTCGAGCTAGGCTTCACTGCACACAGGTCTTTTTGCTTTACAGCTTGAAACAGCAGATGCCAAGGTCTGCAGCTCACTGACCACGGGGAGGTGTGGAGCTGCCATGGGCCAGGCTTCCACCTGGGAGAGGACTAGGAGATCCTCTTCTGTTCTCTGGGCTCCCCATGGATCTATCTGTGAGCTGTGGGGAGACACAAGTCAATCCAAATGAGGCAGCTGCTGCTCCCAGCCCTTGGGGCTGTGGGGGGGTGGCTGCATTTGGGGGTTTTTCAGGGTACACTCAGCCCAGCCACCCCCCTGGGCGAGGTCATTTCCAATGATGGGAAACCCACGACGTTTTCGTTGGGGTTTCCAGCTGATAGGGAACTATTGTTTACATTTTTTATTAAGGAAAAATCTTTTTTTTTTTTTTGATGAGAGAGGGAAATAACCCCAGTCTAGGATAGGCTGAGTCCTGGATGCCGCTAACGGGATGGGTAGCAGAGGTGCTTTTTTGGGGGGTGCCTTCTTTCTACCCAGGGAGGATCCTGCCTTGGGAGCCAGAGAGATCCACTGGTTTCCCTGCAGTGACTTGACTTTCAGAGGAAAGTGAATTTCTGAGTAGCCCAGGGAGCCTCTGTGCCACTCCTCTGCCTCATCCCAGCATCGCCATTGTCTCTGTCTCCTGCTCAGCAGTTTCCAGGCACTCGTAGGCACTGAGCTGGGGAATATTTTTAAAGTCTTGCAGAATATGCAAACCCTTCCAGCAGCAGGTAGGTCAGTGCTGGGGCTGCTGGGCACCTGCGAGGTTGATGCTGTAATTTGGGACAAGTGAGCCTTCCCCACCATAGCCCAGCTGGACCTGCCTTGGCTGCTCCCTGGGTTAGATTCACACTGATCATCCATGTTTTTGTTCAGATGGAAGGCTCAGAAGCTGGACAAGGACACCTGCACAGGTGGGGTGGAGCAGTGGGAAGGGGAAGGAGAGGACAGGGAGAAGGATCAGGGCCAGGGGGTACCTTGGGCCATTGTTCTCTGAGGATCTGGAGCCCTCAGCAGCTGCTCGCCTTCCCTTTACTGTCCCAGCAGCTGGGATGTTCCTTTTGGCTTGGAATTGCACCCAATAATGGCTTTTTCACTGCAATATTTTCCCTACTGCAGATTTCTACAAGCCAAAATTAGCAGAGGTTCAGGCAGAGTTTAGTGGCATTCGAGGTCATTTTAGTTCTGTTGGTGCTGAGTTCTTTTCTTGGAGGTGATGAACAGCTGGTGGCTGCTCGCTGTCCTGCGTGGTTTGGAGGTCCCCCCAAAGGGATGCCCCACCAGGGGGTCACCAGGAGACTGACCTGGCACCAGGACAGGCATCTCTCTTTGCCACAGGCAGGGCCACTCACAGTGTCCTCACACAGGAGTGATACATGGACCAAACTGGGGGTACAGGTACTTCTGACCCGCACCCCCGACACAGCAGCCCCCCCACCATCACAGCTGCTGCCACTGCCTGGCAGCGGGGCCGGTCTCAGGTGAAGGAAACCCTGCCCGTGCTGCCTGCTGGTCAGGGATGGCTGGATTGCTGTTCCCTGAGCGGCGGCTGCAGGCTCTGCCTGGGCAGAAATGCTCCAGAAATGCTCTCCCTCCGCTTTCAGATTTAATCCCCAGCTGTCCTGTGGGTTGTGGTTTGAGTTTTGTGTTGTGTAGCTGAGCATGGTGTGATGTGGGGTGGGTGGAGGCGGATGGTGCCTCACTGCAGGACCTGTACAGGTTTCTCAGGCAGACCCAGCTCTGCCTCAGCACAGCCTGGAATGTCCCCTGGACAGCCTGGGGCAGGGGACACACGACCCCCAGCACCACACTGTGTGTTGTTCTGTGGGGGAAGGGGCTGAGGGGAGAGAAGGGAACATTAGCCATGGAAGAGGTTCCCAAGGACAGTTTCTGTCAAGCTCCACGATGCCAAAATGTCACAATCTGTCCTGGTTTACCTTCTAGTCTTTTGCTTTGCCAAACGACCTCCAAGGAACTTTGTCCTGTGTCAACAGAAACCAGTGTCCTAGGCATGGTCTGTACTGGGCTCTTGTGCTGGGGATAGGAGTGTTTTGGGAGTAGAATCAAGGAATCTAGGAGCGCAGGGGTGACACTCTGCCCCACACACCAAATGTTTGCTACTTGGCCTTTGCAAATCCAAACTGATCAATGATGTGCCTTTTGGACCGTCCTTATCTCAGCCTTGTCTGCGACACCGGTCCCACCACAGGTTTGTGCCTATGCAAAGCGGGGTGGCTGCAGGGTCCCAGGGCCACTGTGACACCCGTGGGGAGAGGTGTCCTGGTCCCCAGTGAGACACGGGGCTGTCACACAGAGCCCTGCTGAGGGGTGCCCCCAGAGGGGAAGCCGGCTCAGCAGGGATGCTCTTGCCTGCAGCAATAGGATGTGGAGATTGGTTTCCCCGAGGGGGAAAAGACATCTGAGGAGACCCCAAGCAGCTGTGAGAGGGCAGGAGATGAGCTGTGAGAGCGGGTGCTGTGCTGGCTGCACGCCAGCTCTGAGCTTGCTGCTCCCTCCAGAGCCCTCATCAAAGCTCCCACGTGTTTCTCCATGTGGGGGCTTGCTCCTGACTGGACAAAAAGTCATTGGGCCTGAGCTTGTGCCCAGGGGTATCCTGACAGCAACCCTCCATCACCCACCCTTCCCAGGTAGGTCCCCTTCCAGCAGCGTGGGACTCTGCTGTGATCACTTGCTATTGTGCCTTTTGCTGACCAGCTGGTTTGATTCCAAAGGTCTAAGGATGGTGAAAATGATAATCCAGGATTTTTTCTGACCTTCAACTCCCTGCATGTTTCTTCCCTAACCCCTTCCTGAGCCGGTGTTCCAGGTTCTCCCAGCAGTGCTAGGGTGTCTGACCACACGGTTCCCATTGGAGTTTGCCTCCCAAAGGCACATCATGTGAGTGATTTATTGGAATCTTTTGTGGGCAGGGGTTGGAAGCTGGTGCAGACCCTGGTTTGCACCAGGGTCCATTAGGATTCAAGGTGTACTTTTTCCCCCCCCTCCCCTTTTTTTTGAGTTTGCTGCTATGGGTTGGTGTGTTCAGCCAGGTATCAGACAGGCAATTGCAGGTTTGTCACTTGTCATTTTCTAAGTCGTTTCCGATGTGGAAAGTCCTGCAGTATTTGTATATTGAATGGATATTTTCTCCAGGCGTAATCTGGTTAAGCATCCTTGTTTTTTCCATTGGACTGGAAGAGGTGGCTGATTCAGCCATCTTCCCGAGAAACTGAGTCTATTTTTATATATATATTTTGTACCAAAAAAATACCTGGAGTTCATGGAGAGATGGAGATAGTTTAGGGGTTTGGTTTGTGTTGAGTTTCTGCGCTGGTGTGTGCCTGAGTGTGAAGGGCTCCAGAGCCAGGAGAAGGGGTTTACTGGCAGAAATTGAGGAATGGGTGAAAACAAACAATTGTTCTTGTAACTTGTGCCAGTCACTGCTCTGATTTGTACGTTTTAATTAAAGAGAGAGCCAAATCGGTCCTGTATGACACTTATAATTGCTTTAAACTGCAGCTGTTTGTTTGCTTTTATTTTCCAAGAACAAAAGTCGGAGATGTTATTGCCCTGGGAAAGCATGAGGGCTGTGGGAGCAGGGCCGGGTGCTGGTCCTGCTCCCCCCCAAGCCTCCCGGCCCCTCCTGGCCCCTCGCTTGCGTTCCCTGTGCTGTTTTCCAGTGTTCCTGGACGCTAACGCTAGTGTAGCCCCCAGCTCTAGGCTGCTTTTAATTTATTTGCAGGAAAACACTAGGAGATGGTTACGTCGGGTGGGGACTTTCGTGTAACTTTTCCACTGTTCTTTTTTAGCATATCAATAAATATTTTTTTAAACTTTTCAGCCTCGTGTGGTCACTGCTCTGGGAGCGCCCCCGCCCCCCTCCCCGGACATCGCCTGAGGCCACCGCGTCCCCGGGGCACCGTGTGCTCGGCCGGGGCTGCCGCGGGGCCGGGATGGGGATGTGCGAGGCGGGGGGGAACAGGAGCCGGGGAACCGGAGCGGGGGAACGCCCCTTACTTCCCTCCGGGGGTGCGGGCAGGACGCGGCCCCTCCTGGCCGCAGGCTCCCCGGCTGGAGCTGTGTCTGCACCGGCGGGGAGCTCACGGTCAGGTGCTTCTGACCGTTCCACCGGGACCGGGACCCGCCGGGGTTCGCGGGACGCGCCGGGCCGGCCTGGCCCACGGAGGGCGCTGCGCGGCCGCGGAAGGGCGCGGGCGGCGGCCCCGGGGCTCCGCCGTCGGGATTGCCGTCGGGCGGGAGCCGAGCCCCGGCAGCCGAACGCCCCCCGCCCCGTCCCAACCCCCGCCCCCACGCCCACCCCGCGGGGCCCCGCGGTCCGTGTGAACGGGCCCCCCCGCCGGGCCGGGGGAGAAAGGCGCCATTGTGCGGCCCTTCCTCCCGCTCCTCCGCGGCGCTGGCAGCTCCCGCGGCGCGGGGTCCGCGCCCCACCCGCCCGAGCAGAAAAAGGAGGTTAATGAGGACACGGCTTAAAAAACCCACCAAACCCCCCGCCCCGCGCTCCCCCCCGCCTCCGCGGCCGGGGCGGGTTTGCACACAAAGGCCGAGCTCGCCGGGCAGGGGCCGCCGCACCCCGACCCGCACCCCCGCCCGCCCCGTCGGGAGGGCAGAGCGCCGCGGCACCGGGCAGCGCCGGGGCCCGACCCGGTACCGGAGCGGCGGCCCCGGCGCTGTTCCTCGGACGGGAATCACTCACGGCTCCCGCCACCACCCCGTCCGGGCAGCGCAGGACCTCCGGGGGGACGCCCGGCCCGGTGTCACCTGCGTCCGGGGGCGCCCCCGACTCCCCCCGTCCCTTCGGGTGCCGGCCCCAGGCCCTTACAACCACGATTCCTTGTATGGAGGGGCCACCCGTCCCGTCGGGGCCACAGCACACACCACACGGTGCTCCCGGGCACCCCCCGGCCACACAGACCCCCTCGCCCCGGGACCACAAAGGGAAGCCAGACACGTTTCTATTTACAAAGTATATATTTAAACTGACATAAAAAGCAGGTCTCAAATGGACATTCACGGCTGGCAGAAGACACGTAGTTAAGCTTCACTTCTGAGACTGAGATTTAGCCAAATCGTTTTTGTACAAGTCTTAGATTTAAATAATTCCCACGCGCACACCCGCACACACACACACGCAGGATACACGTCGCTATGTACAGACACACATATACACCCACAGGTACGGTTTGCTCCAGGTGTGTCGGGACACACACGGACACGGGGCTGGAGCGAAGCCCCGACAGGGCAGGAGCGGCTCCAGGCTCTTTGCAAAGGGAAGGATCCTCGGGCTTTGGGGGCAGCGGGAGGACAGACAGCTCAACCCCCTCATCATCCTCCAACACCACCCGTGTCCCATGTCGGCGCTGGCACCGGGACCAGCACCTCGCTTCCTCGTACAAACCAAGTTAAAAATCTCAATTTTACAAAAATATGCCTCCAAAAAAAAATAAAAAATAAAAAGGAAAAGCAAACTGAATTCTCAGACACCATGGCTCCCTTTGCACAGCCAATCCAGCATCCTCCTACCAGGCAGCTCATGGGTCCCGAAAGGATGGGGAAGGGGACTGGACAAGGTGGAGCTGCCGATGGGCCCCACAGTGAAGGGGTGCCCCTTGCCCAGCCCCTTCCCCACTCTCAGGCTCCCTGGTGGTCACTCCCTATGAGCCCCCTGAGTCAGGAGCCTTCAGGAGCCCAGGGACAAGGGGAACCTGGCCCAGTTCAGCCCTCAGGCACTGCCAGGTTTGTGCTTCCCATCTGAGTGATGCCCAGAGCAAGGTGTCGGGACAGGGCCACCTGCTCCATCTCAGCCAAACCACAACCCGGGCACGGTCCCACTCTCCCCTCTGTGCCACGCTGTGGCTGAGCTGGGGGAGCAACCCCCACCAGCAGGGAAACTGCTGCACCTCCTCCAGGGCCATGAGACCCTCCCTGCCCCAGCCGGGGAAGAATCCCAGTTCTGGGAGGAATCCCACAGGCAAATCCGGCAAAAAATCCATCCAAGCCGGCGGGGCTGCTCCACACGGGAATATTTTGCCTCTTGGCTATTGTTTAACCAGCGTAAGGAAAGGGAAATATTTATTGTCTCTGACTGCATAAAGGTGGCTCTGGGATTTGTCAGGGATGTGGGTATTACAAAACACTTTATCGGGAGTCTTCCAACAGTCTGAAGTAAACTGTGATTGAGAATAAAAATAATAATAATCCACTTTCTATAGCAGAATAAAGTAACTAAATATGGGCAGTGAGATGCTCCCTCCCCAACCTCTCTGGCATTTCAAGAATGTAAACAGAGGGGGGTTTTGTTGGGGTTTTTTTGTTTTTAGTGGGTGGGGGAACAGAATCAAGCGACCAGACAAAATGAAAACAGATTCTCAGCTCAGTCCCATCTCCCACAGCTGCTACGACAACTCTATTAAAGTGCATTTCAGTATCACCCCTCAGGAACCTTACACACACAGACCTCCTCTCCTCTGCAAGAAAAGGGAATTCAAGTTAATACTCCAATACTTTTAGCCTTTTTATGGATTTCTGCTTTTCCCCGCCCCGACTTTGTAGCGACATTACTTTTTTTGTTAGACTGGAAACGCCCCATCCCCAACAACACTGTGAATTCAAGTGCTCACGTCAACTGTCAAGGGCAACAGTTCTGGACACAGCACACTTGATTGTACAAGCAACACCTTAAATCACAATCAAGAAATCCGGGCACTTCGCCCTCCGAGGGAGCAACACGTCCCCCTCCACCATCCATAGCATCATATGAAAAATAATAGTTAAAAAAACCCAGCACATACTTAGCTATGAACACCGTTATGTACACCGGCTCCTGCGGCAGATGCGTGAACTCGTTAGTTCTCAGTTTTATTGTCCCTTCTAGGAGCAACTGAGCAGTCACTGTTGTCTCCATTTAAATAAAACAACTCAGAGTTGAAATATATATATATAGATATATATATAAGCATTTTTTCTTAAATAACATATTTACATCTAATAGAAAATATAACTCTAGAGATAATCTTTCCAACGAAATGTAAGACGTGAAAAAAAAAAACCAAACAAAAACAAAAGAATGAGTTAATGAATTTAGGACAGTTTCTAAATTCTCTCCAGGACCAAAAACAAAAGAAAAAAAAAAAAGAAAAAAATTTTAAAGGAAAAAAAAAAAAAAAAAAAAAAAAAAAAAAAAAGAAAAAAATTTTAAAAGAAAAAAAAAAAAAAAAAAAAAAAAAAGAAGAGAGGCCCACCAAGCTCTAACCAAGCTTTTGTCTGGATCTGACTGAAGAAAACCCCAGCACCACCTCCACCAAACTCATCGCTTCTCCTTAAAGAATCCTTGGTCCGTGCTGCTCTCCTTGATGGTGACGGTCAAAAAGTTAGAGGTCACATCAGTTACCACCACCTTCTCCAGGTTGTTGAGAGAGGGGCTCCAGGACTCCTCCTCGGGGTCCCCCAGGATCCTGGAGACGGGGATCCTGGCGATGAGGGAGGGTCGCCCCGCCGGGCCCCCCACGCCATCGCGGTACAGGCTGCCCACGCTGCCCGGGTTCACCGCGCCGTGCAGGAGCTTGGGCCCGCCGGGGTCCAGCCCCCCCTGCCCCTTGGGGTCCAGAAAGTCCGCGCGGTGCTTGGCCAGGCGCGGGGGGAAGGTCTCGGCGCCCGCCTCGGCGCGGTTGGGGCCGGGCAGGGCGCCGGGCAGGTCGGGCTCCTGCCGCCGGGCCAGCTGGATCACGCTGTGTCCCGAGCCAAACTTGGCCGCCCCCGTCGCAGCCTCCTCCATCTTCCTGGCCTTCAGGTAGTCCCCCACCTTGTCCCCCGGGTCCCCCAGTTTCCTCTTGGAGGCATCCAGAGTCTCCGCCAGGTCCTTGTAAAGCTCCTTCCTGGGCTTCGGGCCTCTCTTTTTGGGGGTCTCCCCGGGTTTCTCCTCCACACGGATCACCCGGTCCCGGATGCTGTCTCCCTTGGGGGTGCTGGTGCTGGAACTGCCCTGGGGGGCCAGGGCTATGTTTCTCAGTCCTTCCCTAGCCCGGGACGTGGAGCCCAGCTCCTGGGGGGACCTGCCGGGATATGGCACCCGGATCCCCCTGGAAGAGTCACTGCGGAATTCATAGGTTTTGGCTTTGGCTTTTGCCTGGGCCTGCAAAGAAGATAAATCACCCGGTGACTTTATTATCCTGCCATCCGGCTGCATAATTACAACTTACAAGAGGCCACCTTTGAGGGGAGCATCCTCCAAAGGGGCCAGAAAGAGCCCCTCGCTGTGGCGTGCAGCCCTCACATGTGGGCTCCGGCCTCCTTACCTTTAGCAGGAAGGTTTTGGGCTTGGGGCCTCGCTTTTTGGGCCCGTAAAGTTCCATTTCTCGCTCCCTAGAGGTGTTAAAAGAACCAAAGCTTCAATTCAGCATAGCTACAAGACAGCAACATATTTACAAGCACAACTGCTACAGCTTGTAAAGGCCTTGTACCTCTCCTCGAAGGCTGCGAGCAGCCGGGCATCCAGGATGTTTTCCTCGGGTTCCCAAGTGCTGTACCTGGGGGGGCACGGAGAGAGAGGAGAGCGTGAGCAGAGCCAGCAAAGGACAAAATAAATAAAATAAAAAAACAGGGGCATAAAAGGAGGGACCCAGTTCGCATTCTGGCACAAAGGGGGAGTGGGGGTGCAGCCAGCATCCCCCCGGCCCCTGCTGCAGACCCCCGGGCCCCACGGGCGACTTACTTCTGCGACCAGCCCTTCCATTTGACCAGATATTCCATGCGGCCCTGCGGATGGGAAGCGAGGAAAATAAATATGCGCGGAGCGAAAACCGCGATAAAACCGCCCCGCAACAAAGGTCCCCCCGCAACGCCCCACGCATGGAGCGGAACACGGGAGGGGGGGGCGCGGGGAGGGGGATGCAACAATGAAAAATAACGCGGATTTAACACAGCACACACACCCCCCCGGGCGCGGATTTAACACAAACCCCCCCCATGCGCGGGGCGCGGAGGGCGGGAGCGGCGGAGCGGAGCCCGCCCCGCGGCGGAGGGAGACAGAGCCGCCCGCAGCGGGCCGGGGCCGGGGCGCGGGGGGCCGGGGGCGCGGCGCGGGGGGGGCGCGGGGGGCACCTACTTTGCGGATGCGGCGCTTGAGCAGGGCCTCGGCCGCGAAGACGCGCTCCCCGACGGCCGAGAGCTCCATGTTTACGCGGCCGCTCGCAGCGCAGGGGCGGCCCCGGCGCAGCCCAGACCATAATACTCCGCCCGCTGACGTCACCGAGGCCCCCCCGCGCCCGCCGCCGCCGGAGCCGGGTGGAATATTCCGCCCGCGCCGCATTGGCCCCGCCGCGCCCCGCCCGCCGACGTGCGGCGCGTCCCGATGGCCGCGGGGAGGGGCCGCCGCGGGGGACACGCCCCCGGGACACGCCCCCGGGACACGCCCCGCTCGGGGGGGCGGCCCCGGGGGGGCGGGAAGGGACGCGGAGCACAAAGGGGGACCGCGGCAGCGGGACGGGGTGGGGGGAGATTCCGGCAGCCCCGGGGACGGGGCGGAATGTGGGCCCCGCAGCCCCGGGGACGGGACGGGGGCTTCCGCGGCACCTGGACGGGGCGGACTGGGGGCTTCCGCGGCCCGGCGCGGCGGCCGGTGGTCAGACAAACGGAGCGGTGTCGGGGCGGGGGGCGCTCCGGCATACTGGGTCCCCGTGGGTCCCCCTCACCGGCTCTGCCTCTCGTCCTGCCGCACTGCAACCCGCCCGAGACCCATCGCCTTCTCCCCGAGGCGACCACGGGAGAACGAGACACGTGTGTCAGGACGACGAGTCGCGGGAAATGGGTGCAGCCTCTGGGGGACCGGCGGTCTCACGGGGCCGGTTTTCGCCCGCAAGCGGGAAGGGTCAAAATCTGCCCCCTGCGCCGTTCGGGGGGAGGGCTCGGGGGGGCCGGACAGCCCTTCAACCCATTCCTGCTGAGTGAAGCGGTTTTCGTGTCCGTGGACAGCGCCGCGGGTGGGTGCTGCCCCGAGGGTGGGACCCGCAGCACCACGGCGCGGTGCTGAGTGGGCTCCTACGGCCCCGTCCACTCGTGACAAGACCTCTCATGGATCTGCTCCTCCTTCCTGCCTTCATTTTCCCTTCCCTAAGGAGTTCGGCGGCTGCCGCGCTCACGCGTGGGAGACTTCGGTCTGCGCCTGCCTTCCGGTAAATGAGACCACGACTACGGTGGGGAGCTCCGGGACACGGGGTCCGCCGAGGCCGGCAGCGGGAACCTCGAGGAGAATTGTTTCTCGAGGGCATCCTCCTGCCGCCGCGTCACCCAGGCGGGCAGGGACCTCCAACGGCGGTCACGAGTGGGGCTCTGGGACCCCGCGGGGAGCACTGACAACTGGACCCCCACAGTCCCACGCGAGACTCGGGAGGTAGTGGGTCGGTCTCGGTGGGCAGATCCCTCCTGCCACCGTCCCCGGCCGACGTTTAACTGCGCTCACTGGAGGAGGCAGGAGATTCCCATTCCACGGCTCTCGTGGACTCCCACACCACGCTTGCAACCCCGCGCCACGGGAGCCTCCCCGCTAAGCGTTTTTTGCGTGGCTTGGCCGGGCCGGGGGGGAGAGCAACCCCCGCGCCCTCCCGGACCACGGCGATCTGCGTCCCGAGAAGTTTTTCGTTAATGTCGAATTAATCTGTGCTAATTAAGGCTGGACGCGGGGCGGCTCATGAATCGGCACGGATGCGGCGGACCGGATCCCGCTCCCGAGAAGCTGCCGCTCAGAGGAGAGACCCGGCGGTACCGGGCGCAAGGCCCAGCGGGGGGACGGAAGCGCATCGTGACCCCCCGGCCCGACCGGTGCCGGCGCCGCCGTCTCGTCCACTGCTGGGGGCTCCCGGGGCAGCGTCCGCGGCGGCGCAGCGGCGCCCATCCCCGTGGCCGTGGAGCTGCTGCAACCCGCGGAAGCTGGTGTTCGTCCAGCACCGTGACTGTCGGTGTCCCGGCACACGTGGGAACCGCAGACCCGGGCCGAGTCTCCCCACACCGACGCCGCACGGGAGCCCCGATAGTCTGTGGATCTCCCGACTGAGCAGCCACCTCTGCCCCTTCGCCGAGCTACGCGGAGCCCCACGGCCACGCGTGGGTGTGCAGAGCCGAGAGGCCGCGGTTCCGGCTGCCTCACGTGCGGGCGTCAGCGCAGGAATAGCTTCATCCTCCCGCTGTAACCCACGCGGGACCCGCGCGGAGCCGGGGCGGCACCCCCGACTGCGGTGCGGGGGGGGCAGGGACAAGGCGAGACGTAAACGAGAACGGCACAGGGAAAGCAGCGCGGAGCGGCCGCCGCCGCGTGGGAACCGACCGGAGCCCCCGCGCGTGGGTGAGCCGGGTCCGGGGCTGCGGCCGCTCGTGGGGGTCTTGGTTCGGAAGAAGAAGCGGGACGGAGCTGACCCGGAGCCGTGGCATGAGGCAGCGGCGGGCGGGACTGTTCCCGGCTCCGCCGGGCGATTCCTCTCGCTGCCGGAGGGAGTCCGGGGACCCCCTCGCCCGGGGCCGGCGGCGCTGCGGGGCCCCCCTGCCAGGCCGGGCCAACGGAAGCAGCAGCGGAGCCGGGGCACGGGCCGCCCTCCAGGCTCCCGAGGTCAGCGGCAGGGGCTACCTGGGCGTCCCACGGGCTCTTGGCCGAGGGGGGGCCGCTCGTCCCCGCGTCTCCACCGCCCACGCAGACAGCGGCCCGGTCTCTGGGTCCCGGGCTCGGTGCCGACTCGGGGACAGCTTCGGCCCGGCGAGGACGTGTGCCGGCGCGGCAAACCCCGTTTCTGCCCGTTTGACCCCAAATCCACCTCTTGGCTGCCGGGTCTCCGCTCCCCCAACACGCACTCGTGAGATGAATTTCTCGGGGCTCAGCGGGCCGCCGCGGCGCAGAGTTCCCGGCTCCCCCCTCGTTTCTCGCTGTGCGGGGTTTTCCACGGCCACGAGTTTTGCAACGAAACCGGGGGGCTGCAGCCCCTTCCGGCGTCGCGCGTGGGGCGGTGGAGCGAGCACGCGTGTCCGAGCGCGGCTGAGCCTGGAGCGGCGAGGCGGACCTGGCTCCAACCCAACACCGGCACCATCGATTCCCGCACTGCAGCCGGGCATTCCCCCGCGCCTCCCGTGCACTGCAGTGACCATGCTTCAGAAGCTACTCCGTCCCACGGCCACTCGTGGAGGGACGGCAGGATCCAGCCCAGATCCCGACCCGGTTCCCCGGGTGGCCGAGGATGCCGGTGCTCCTTGTATATCCGTTTATGCCACGGTCGCTCTCCACTGTGTCGACAACCCTTCTCCTGGGCGACCCCAGCACGGCCCCCACAGTGGGACCACCGAGGGGGACGGGGGCAGAGCAAATCGCCCGTTGTCAGAGCCCCAGGGCCCGCCCGTCCCCGAACCGACCCTGCAACCGGGGTGGCCCTCGGGACCCGGGAAAGGCATCCTGCAGCCCGGGTACCGACGGGCAGCGTACGGTGCGCCCCGGAGCCCCATTCCACGCGAGCTCCCTGAATGCGTGGATACCCCCCCGCACACTCGGGGCGGCCAGACTCGGGTTCCCGGTCAGCTCCGCCGACCGGTTCGGCTCTGGGTGTTTCCCGGTTCGGTTCCGTCCCCGAGCCATGCGGGAAAACGATTCCCTCCACTGGTGGATGAATGGAGCCGAGAGGAGTTTCGGGCAAATTCACGGCCCCCGGGCCGGTACCAGGCTGTCTCGACGGGTGGGCGCGGACCGAGGACACCGCGGCATCGCCGGCCCCCCCCCGGCCCACGGCCTTTTCCGGGACTGGGGGCTCAGCCCGGCCCCCGGGATGTTGCCTTTTCGTTTCCGAGCATCTCGAGGATAATCGGGGAGGCAGAGACTGGCTCCGAGCTGCGGCACCAGCACCCCAAGGTGCCGCTGGGGATGCTGCCGGGAAGCGCGGAGGTACCCGGTGTGGGGAGGGGAGATCTCGGGGGTTCCCGTGCAGCGGCGTCCGCGCGGGGCTGCACCAGCCCCGGAATTTCCGTGTGAGTAAGTTTTCATGTCAAGGTGTTTGGCATCGAATTCGTGACCGGGCAGGACTTCCCCGGCGGCTCCGGAGGTGAAGTAGAGACGGGAGGCAGCGCGCCCCGATGGACCGACCCCTGGCACGGCTGCCGCCCCTTCGCCGGAGACCGGAGGGGGCTGGCGGGGCCATAGAGGGACCTCCGTGTGGTCGGACTCAGGAGAGCGAGAGGATGCCGGCCCCGGGGACTCTGCCGAGCACCTGAGCAGAACAACCTCTCTCCGCTCCGCCGGTCGTTATTCCCCGGTTACCGGGGCCTTGGTTAGCCGGCGAAGCGACCGCTCCGAGGAGGTGCAGCCCAGCGGCGCGGCTGGTCCCCAATCGCGCTCCACCGCCGCCCCGGGACCGAGCCGAGCATCTTCCCCGGCGCAGGCGGTACTGAGGGACAGCGGCGGCCCCGCCGACCGGGGCAGCCAAGCCCCTCCGACACTCCCCGGGCCAGCCCAGAGAGCGGCTCGTCCCGACGATGCCGCACGGAAACGCTGACCTTCCCGGCGCGTTCCCGCCGGCCCGGTGAATTCCAGGTGCTTTCCATAGGTGGCACCGTCCTCCTGGAAATGGCGACTGCGGCCGCCGCGCAACCGGCGGCGCTCCCGCTACCCCCGGGGGGCACTGCCGCCCCCTCCGCCCCGGGCAGCCCGCCCGCATCGAAGGTTCATCAGGGCAGGAACCCCCCCGCACCGAGGGTTCAGGAGCGCCCGCAGGAGCCCCGGGTGCTGTGACCCGCGGCAAAGCGGGGAGGGGTCCCCTCTGCGGTCCCGACGGGGGAGAGAAGCCGCCGTTCTCTCCCGAAGCACAGACCCACGAACGCTCGGGTAGTCTCCCGCATCGGTCTTCCTCGTGGCAGCGGTTCACGCGTGTCCTGCAGATCTCTGCTCCCGTGGGGCCGCCGTGCCCCGAGCCCCCTGCTCCGGCGAGGCTGACCGGCGGAGTCCCCACCGAGGGAGCGTCCACGGGGCGCCCCGACGGCAAAGCGCCCTCTCCCCGTTTTCCAGGCGTGCCGACACGCACCGGGAGCCCCTCATCACCCCCGGCGCCGGGGTCGCCCCACTGCAGCTTCGCGGGTCACCCCGAACGCCCCGGGCGAGAAAAGCGCCGCTCCCGGGACCGGGGGCGCCGTTTATCACCCGCTCCAGGCTCCGAGCGCTCTGCACAAAAGATCTTTTGTTCCTGGGGATTCTGAATTTGCT